AATAATCAATATAGCGTACAAACGAGGTTAGTTATTTCGTTTTACGAATAGACTGGTAAATTATTCCATAGTCCCGAACTTTACTTGCAAACTAACTCATTTTGACAGAGTAGATTTAAGATGAGACAATTTAAATTTTGATAGTGACGAGTGCTATAACTCAGTGATTCTTCATATTGTATTGCACCAGTGGATGTAAAAGATTACATTTAGTTTGTCACCACTTCTAAAAAGGACCAATCTCTAGCTTAATGCATCTGGATCTGTAATTCAAAGTGCAATTACTCCCAAGAATCTGAAGTGCATGGCGTTGCTGGACAGATTCAAACCTGAGATGATCCTTAATGCATACACTACTCGGAATAAAAGTACAGTATTCGGGGACTGACCGGATGCATACTTTCTACGTCTAAATACGTGAGCCACTGTTATGGAAATTACTTAGTACATAACCTAGAACTTAGAAGAACTTTGAGGTCTACATGGGAGCTTTTCACTCCTAAATCTACCACAATGAAACCTACATAGCACCTGACCAGTTAGGAATCTCATAGATCCAGAACCATCAAAGCATTCTTCTAAACAAAGAAGGAAGGGATCACAATGAATATCATCCAATGCTATGAACCCACCAATGATAGCAGTGAAAATGATAAAAATTATTTTTGTGAGGCTGCAGTTGATCGTAGAGGAGTGCTCAAGAAGGAACCTGAGCGTCCTGGTAGAAGACCTAAACGCCAAGGTCGAAATGGACAACACCGGGTATGAAAATATCCTTGGACAATATGGACTGTGAGAAAGTAAAGAAAATGGTGAAAGATTTGCAAATCAACGTACCTTCAACAAAATGGTTATAAGTGACACTACTCCCCCCCCCACAAACACAAAGCTACATACGATTCGTCGGAGTACCCTACAGAGAACCAGATCAATCACATCTGCACCAGTAAAAAGTCCAGAAGTTAAATGGAAGACGCAAGAACAAAGAGATGAGCTGATATAGGTCCAGATCACCATCTATCATCTGTTGGCAGCTAAGAAACACTGAACAACTGGGAAAACAGCCTTCCTGAGAGGTGCCAACAAACTCAGAGAACTCAAGATATCTCTCAGCAACAGATTCCGAGTCTTACAAGATCTACTCAAAGAAGAGGATACTATCATAAAGAACAACTGGCAAGCGATCAATAAAGCACTAACTCCAATGTGTAAGGAGGTTCTGGGCCACAAGAGGCATCATCATAAGGAATGGATTCCTACCGATACCCTGGGCAAGATTCAAGAAAGGAAGAACAAGAAGATATCAACTAACCACAGTTGAACAAGAACAGAGAAAGCAACCCAATTACTGAGATTCAAGAACAGTGGAACAGGTGGGTAGAGCTCTTTGAAGAACTCTTGAGTAGACCAGCTCCACTGAATATCGAAGCAGAACACACGGACCTTCCTCTAGATGTTACTTCACCAACAATAGAAATCAGGATGGCCATCAAACAAATCAAGAGGAGGAAAGCAGCAGGACCTGACAATATACCATCTGAAGCTCTGAAGTCAGATATGGAAGTAACTGCAAGCATGCTTCACATTCTCTTCAGGAAGATTTGGGAGGAAGAACAAACGCCACCGACAGACTGGAAAGAAGGACAACTCATCAAGATACCAAAGAAAGGAGATCTGAACAAATGCGGAAACTACAGAGGCATCACACTACTGTCAGTGCCAGGAAAAGTTTTCAACAGTGTTGCTGAACCAGATAACGCCCAAATTCGAAACCAATAGGCTGGATTCCGTAAGGATCGATCGTGCACAGACCAAATCGCGACATTACGGATAATTATTGGGCAATCAACTGAATGGAACGCGTCACAATAAACCAACATCCCTGACTGTGAAAAGACGTTTGACAATATGGATAGGAGATCCTTATGGAACGTTCCTCTACAATATGGTATACAGAATTCATGCGACGGACTACACTGCGAAGTCGTGCAAGGTGGACAGCTGACAGATGCATTGCAAGTGAGAACCGGAGTCAGACAAGGCTGTTTACTCTGCCTCTCTCTTCTGGTGTTTGACTGGATTACGAATACCTTCACATCTAGGAAGAAGCACGGAATACAATAGAGCTTGGATGCATTCAGACGATCAGGACTTTGCAAACCACCTAGCTCTTCTACTATATACACAGCAACAAATGTAGGTGAAGACAGCCAGTGTGAAACCAGCCTCTGCATCAGTAGGTCTCAACATTCACAAGAGAAAAAGCAATGTCCTATAATACAACACAGAGAACAAACCCAATAGCACTCGGTAGAGCTGTGAAGTAGGTGGGAACTTCCACATATCTGGGCAGCATCGTGGATAAACAAGGAGTATCGGATGCAGATGTAAAGGCAAGGTTTGGCAAAACAAGGCCAGCATTCCTACAAGTGAAGAATATATGGAACTCAAAACAACTGTCAGCCGACATCAAAGTTAGAATTTTCAGTACAAATGTCAATACATTTCTACTGTACGGAGCTGAAACTTGGGCAGCTACTATAACCATCATCAAAAAAAGCACAGGTATTTTTAAATAATTGTCTACACAAAATACTTAATATCTGTTGACCGGATAGCATCAGCAACAGCTTACTGTGGCAGAGAACAAATCAACTTCTCGCTGAAGAGAAAATTAGAAAGACGTTGGAGGTGGGTAGGATAAATATAGCAGAAAACACCAAGCTGCATCATGGAACGAGCTCATACTTGGAATCTCGAAAGCAAAATGGTAAGACAGACCAAAGAACACACTGAGTTAGATTGGAAGCAGACATCAAAAAAGTGAACAACACAAGAGAGGGGTCAGGACAGTCGATTGGAAACTGGTGGTCGGTAGTCAAAACTCCGCGAGGAGTAATAGACGTGGACATGCAAACCAGTCCTATATAGCAATTAAACAGGGAATTACACCCACTTGGTCATCCACTGACGACAAGCATGACTGCTTCAGTGGTAATGTTCTTCGGCAAAATATGATAGTAGAAATAAGCTTTTATTTTGTAATATTCCGAGTAAACAGTAGAAAAAATAAGGAAACGGTTCATTTATTGCTTTACGTATATTTCGCCGCTATCAAGACAAGATGGTGACTAGGAAAAACGTCCAGTGGTTCAAGTATTTACACTTCACAAAGATAAGACGAATAACTATAGAATAATAAGAGAATTCATTCAAACAAAGAATGAATATATCTAAATCACTATAATCAATGTTGAGTAATGTTACTTGTAGTTTATACACACTAGCTTACATCATATAAAGAACATCAAGGGGAAAGTATCCATCATAATGAGAAAAGACTATTAGGATGGTTTACAAGATATTCTTAGATCAGTTTAACACTTCCTTTATTAACATTCCACTCTGTGGGAAAATAGCACTTTTAGATATTTCATGAGGTACTGTAAAACTCACTTTACATCAAATACAACACAAAGCCTGAAAAATTCTTAACAATTGTACGTCTTATTGGAAAATCTAGACGAATATTACCATAGTGTTGAGACGCATTTTACGAAGGCACCTACTTTTTAAGTTGAATTATTTTTAAATTCAGCGTTACATTTCAACAATTCGATTTCTAGGAGTGTAGTTGGTTTACATCACTTTAGCGAAGTAGTCCACAGTGCAGTTTAGTTTTTCCAATTGTTATGAATGTTATCATAACGAAATGTTGACAAAGTTCAGCTGGCTACTTTCTGACTTTATAAAACGCTAAATGTATGGTCTGATTTTAAGATAATGGAGAAAATTTGTAGCTCAGGATGTTACAGTTATCGCTATCTCTGAGCTGGAGAGATTGGTTATGAAGCTCTCTTTTTTCTTCTGAATGTCACCAATATGTACTTCAAGAGGAAGTACGTGTTAGGCGTTCGCGCGCGAGACCGAGGGTTATGGATTCGATTATCGCTTGCATGGACGTGAATGTGCAGTCGAGGATTCCCATATTAGGACGAAACGGCCGTCTAGTGCTTCCAAGTTTTTAATGATTGTCTAACACAGATTGGTTCATCATTTCAACGGAACTCCATCATAATCAGATTTCTGTACAATCGTCTAATCTCTATGAAATATAGTGTTACACGAAAACCTTCTGCTTCAACAAAGTTTAATAAAAATGTACAGTTAAGATTATGACTGAGGGCTTCCGACCTAATAAACACAGTATTAGTTCCATTAGAGGGGACCTAGCAACGAAGTAAACATACCTACTCAATAATGTCTCCAGAAAACAACCACTAAAACAAACCAACATTGAGATTACTTATTACTCAGTTTAATAGCACACGAGTTTTTTTTCATAGGACGGTTGAAGGTGATACAACTCACAAACTTTCTCACGCTTAAATTTTCGATAAATGTAAAAGGCATTTTAGACTCTAGTCAGATTGTCTCTGATTGACAATTGACTAAAACATCTGAGATGGTTCATTCAAATGTTCACAAAGATCCCTAACAACTTCTTCTAGTTGGCCATGTTCTTTATCTTGAATGTAAACACCCAGAAAAAAGTAAACAATATAAAGGAATAATTGGAATGCTGAGACAGAACACTGGAGTTTTAATGCTATTATTATTATTATCACCAGTAGTAGGGAAAAAACAAATAAGTTACAGACATTAGCCTTCAATTTTATTTTTATTCAAAAACTAATTTTGTAAATATTGTAAAAAAAGACAGAAAAATTCATGGATGCTCTGAATACATACGCAGAAACAAACGTCAAAGAGCAAATCTGCAAGTGATAAGGTTAAAGTGAGTTTTTGTTCGTCGGTGTAAGCATGCCAAAATATTCTTGCTAATATATATATATATATATATATATATATATATATATATATATATATATATATATATATATATATATATATAATTTTAATCAACCTCAATCAGTCGATTTAACGCAGTGTAATGAATATATGTAATAAAGTTTTAGCTAATACAGCTTTGACATTGGTCAATCTGTGTCCATTTTATTGTCATCAAAAGACTCATCCTTTTTATCAGCTTTAGTATCTGCAATAGTTTTTCCTTCCTTTTTATGGTCTGACTTGTCTTTTGATGATTCCTGAGAAGTCGTACTTTGGGTGACATTCGAACCGCTGTCATTTGAGGGTTGAGAGGTTGTATCAGTCGTTTTTCCTTGGAGTGCATTTGAAAACGCCACCAGGTCTGAAATTGGAATTAAAATTAATTATTAGTTATCTAAGTTGTACTTATAGAACATACCGTCCCAAAAAATGTGTCTCCTTCATTTTAACATGAAGCTGTGATTTAGGATTATGTTGTGAAAACACGCGCTTTCATTTGAATGACATTTATCGTGCGAAAGTTTACGACATTTATTGCCAGTCCGATAATCAACAAGTTAAGTGAGGTTTAAAATAACTCTACAAAAATTGGGAATCAAAAGTCAAGCCTCGGCAATTTCCCAAAAATAATGATCTGTAGTAGTTTTTTATGATTTGACAATTAGTTGTACTTTAGTCAGCTATCTTCGAATTAACAGAACACACGAAATAGTCAATTGAATCAATAATTTAGTATAGTTTACTGAACTCCGCCTGGAGTTCTTCCGGGGGCTACTGCCGGTCCCAAGCCCAGATAAAGGAGGAAGGTTGGGCATGGGGTAGGCGACCCCATCCCGTAGAAAACTAACTCGCTAAAAAAACGATAACCAGAATAAATTATTCAAACCTTTTAAACTCTGCCCTGGGAATCAGTGTTTTCATTTAGAAGAACTATGACGCCTCATGATGAAAGCCCAGTTCCTTCAGAAGTCACGAGGCCAACGCCCCTTCTAACAACCAGGGCAAAAATTTTTACAGGTACATGGAATACTCGTACAATGTGGGACACGGGGAGTCTTCCAAATTGCTGCAAAAATGAGGAGGTACAACCTAGAGGTGCTTGGGATCAGTAAAACACATTGGACGCAAGTTGGACAACAACGACTAACTTCAGGAGAGCTCCTGTTATACTCCGGCCATGAAGAAGAAAATGCCCCACATACACAAGGGGTCGCATTGATGCTATCCAAACACGCACAAAATGCACGTATAGGATGGGAATCTCATGGACCAGGGATCATCAAAGCCTCATCCAAAACAAAGAAAGAGGGCATTACAATGAACATCATCCAATGCTATGCGCCTACCAACGACCACAATGAAGACGCTAAAGATCAATTCTACAATAGGCTGCAGTCAATCATCGAGAAGTGCCCAACAAAGGACCTGACCATTCTGATGGGAGATTTAAATGCCAAGGTTGGAACGGACAACACTGGATATGAAGACATCATGGGACGACACGGACTGGAAGAAAGGAACGAAAATGGTGAGAGATTTGCAAACCTATGTGCCTTCAATAAACTGGTCATAGGCGGCACCATATTCTCACATAAACACATACACAAAACCACATGGACTTCACCGGATCACACTACACAAAACCAAATCGACCGTATCTGCATCAACAAAAAGTTAAGGAGGACGATGGAAGACGTGAGAACCAAGAGAGGAGCTGATATAGCATCATATCATCACTTGCTGGTCGCCAAGATGAAATTGAAACTCAAGAAACACTGGACAACGGGGCGGGCAATATCACGAAAGTTCAATACGGCCTTTCTTCGGGATACTGACAAACTCAACGAATTCAAGACAGTCCTCAGCAATAAGTTCCAGGCCTTTCATGATCTACTCAACGGAGGAGGAACTACTATGGAGAGCAACTGGAAGGGGATCAAAGAAGCAATCACTTCAACATCCCATGAGGTTCTGAGCCACAAGAAGCACCATCACAAGGAATGGATCACTGTTGATACACTGGATAAGATTCAAGAAAGAAGGAACAAGAAGGCAGCAATCAATACCAGCCGAACAAGAGCAGAAAAAGCCAAGGCACAAGCTGAATACACAGAAGTAAACAAACAAGTGAAGAGGAGCACCAGAACCGACAAACGTTAATATGTGGAAGATTTAGCAACGACAGCGGAAAAGGCTACAAGAGAAGGAAACATGAATCAACTGTGTGACACGACAAAGAAACTGTCTGAAAATCACCGTAAACCGGAGCGACCAGTAAAAAGCAAGGAAGGCGAGGTAATCACCAACATTGAAGAACAACGAAACAGGTGGGTAGAACACTTCAAAAAACTCTTGAATCGACTAGCCCCACTGAACCCACTCAATACCGAAGCAGCACCCACGGACCTCCCAATCAATGTTGGCCCACCAACAATTGAAGAAATCAGCATGGCCATCAGACAAATCAAGAGTGGCAAAGCAACAGGACTAGACAACATCCCAGCAGAGACACTGAAAGCAGAACATCTGGAACTCAAAGCAACTGTCAACCAACACCAAGGTCAGGATTTTCAATACAAATGTCAAGACAGTTCTACTGTATGGGGCGGAAACCTGGAGAACTACGAAAGCCACCATCCAGAAAATTCAGGTGTTTATTAACAGTTGTCTACGCAAAATACTTCGGATCCGTTGGACGGACACTATTAGCAACAACCTACTGTGGGAAAGAACAAACCAGATCCCAGCGGAGGAAGAAATCAGGAAGAAGCACTGGAAGTGGATAGGACACACATTGAGAAAAGCACCCAACTGCGTCACAAGACAAGCCCTCACATGGAACCCTGAAGGCCAAAGGAGGAGAGGAAGACCAAAGAATACATTACGCCGGGAAATGGAGATAAACATGAGAAAAATGAACAAGAATTGGATGAAATTAGAAAGGAAGGCCCAGGATAGAGTGGGTTGGAGAATGCTGGTCGATGGCCTATGCTCCATTAGGATTAACAGGCGTAAGTAAGTAAGTAATAGTTTACTGAACTGACATTATACCCAACTAATTACAAAGAGATGGACAAAAGTAAGTAGGGCTGCTTATGTATAAAACGATATATACAAGAAAATCATATTGGTATAGACCATTTGTTCAGGCGAGAAAAACATTTGACAGGCTTACCACCTCGTCTTGCAGCTTCATCGGCTTTTATACCCAAATTGAATTGAGCCAAAACAGGGGCGAGTTCACCTGTTCGAAAAGCAGCTGAGAAGGACTACAAAAGACGAATACAGTGAGGAAGCTAGTTAAGTAACAAAAACGAGTAAAAAGAGTGAAATCTTAACAAAAGTGAACAGTGATATATGCAGTAAAAATATAACTGGATCTATCGTAAATTAAGTAATACATGAAATAAAGGTGTAGATACTTTAAACTTTTAACCCCAGTTTCAAGACAGTTCGCGTTATAAACGAAAAGAACAAATGTAGATTGTGTATTGTGCAAATAGACGTGAAATCTCATGAAATTTTACGGTGATATTTGAAATCAGTGTAGCTCTCAAATCTTTATTAGATTGTGTAAAAATCAAGGTAATAAGTTTGAGTATCTTTACGCTGAACTAATAATCTATGGATAGTATCCTATAGAGAAACCAAATGATTGAATAAACTCAACAAGTGGACATCCAAGACAGATATTTTAGTGAATATTTGGGTTAACTATCTCAAACACTGGTCGATCCCCATTCAGAAACAGTTAAAGCAGGATCAGTTAGTTGTCTCAAGTTTAGAATACGATAATCACCTTCAGCCTAAGCAAGTTTCTAGGGCGTATTTTGATATTAAGTAGAACCTAGAGAAATATACAGGTTCTAATTGTTCAGTTCATATCAGTATAACACGAAGTTAATAAGATGAGAAGTTAAGGGGGTTGAGATGCATAAAAAATCAAGTTCAATTCGAATGAAATAGTAGGATAAAAATGAGGGGACAATACTGAAGCTATAAAGACTGATGTATTCGGTTTTGAGCTAGAATTTATGTGAAGGAGAGCGATAATCCCTGACAGTTTATTACCTCAATCAGATTAGTCTACATAGTGGCACTAAACCATTATATATGGAAGTGAGCATATTCGGTACACTAGACAGTTCGTCACTTAACTATGAATTATTTTTTTAAGTGCTACAGGAACATATCATCACTACGATTTTAAGAAATATAGAACAATGGAAACAGAGATATTTATCTACACTTTTTAAGGATCATTTAAAAGTTGGTCGAAAAATATAAGCAGACTCTGTCAATGGATCAACAGTTAATAAAATATTTTTAACTTCGCATTCAAACTAGTGTTCCAACAAATGCCTAAAAGGAAATAAGTAAGAAAAATAGAGACAGAAAGTGTGTGACTGAATATCCACTGAACAAAAATATACCTTCCAATTTAATTTAAAATGATGAGATCAATTTGATACTTCTTAGGAATTAGAATAATAAGAATAATTTAAATTAGAATGTTTAGGAATATTAAGCTATGAAAGAAGTGCCTCGTCAACTGAACTGTTAACTGACAAAATTATTTTTGAAACTAAAACATATCTAACCCTTACTTTCAAAGTGGTTTTGAACTGAGATGACTGAATGTTTGCAGTGATATTTTCCAAGTCATTTGTACTCGCTGATTCAGGATCCAGAGGAGGAAGATGAGGCAACAATCTTTCTTGAATATCCGGCTTATTCAAAAGTGAATGTAAGTTATCTACGTTTAAGACATCGTTTAATTCTACCTTTGCATCATTTGCTATAGAGAATAAAAACATTATCAATGATTAAACAGTATAACTGTGTAAGTAATGTAAAATAATAATAAGAAAACCAATTAAAACAACCATGTATGAATTCATTCATGGGCACTAATAGTTTACTGTTTAAAAGTTTCCAAAACCAGAAGCAGAAGTACTGGCTAAGTGCAATAAAATCTTAGTCGTAGTCAATTTAACATGTGTACAGTTAGAGACTAACAACAGCAAACAGATTCGTAATGCGTAACACTCCAAACCAAATACCACATAACTAGTCAAGATAGATCCTGCGATAAAATTAAACCAAACTACGGTGAAAAATCATCAGAAAGATTGGTCTCCCAGTGTTTTAATTTAATTGGAATTCATTATCAATGCATTGTAAAAAAAAATCAATACCAGTCGCACCATTTTAACTTATCCACTACTATTTTTTTATTCCTTTCTAACTCTTATTCAGAGATTATGGAATTGAAGGGTAATGTTATTCAGTCGAAGATACGGGAGGAACTTTTGAAGCATTTCAAGTCACAAGATCCAAAAAGCCTGTCCGTGGCCCTTTATAACGATAATGACGAATCACTGGTCAAGGAACTTACTATGTTAACTGGAAAGACTTTGCAAACAGGAATATGATCATTTTATAATAAAGAGATCACCATTCCTATCTTTGAAAAAAGCCTTCTTGACTTATGCAACAGTTACTGGGGCGTCAGTATGCTCTTCATTGTTTTAAGGTTACTGGCAACAGTTATACCCCACAGATTGTACAGAACCTGTGAGTATTTGTGAGGAGCAGAATAGTTTTCGATTACAATATGGATGTATCGATCGAATCTTCAATTGTCACACTTATTACAGGTTGAGGATCGTTGTTCCTTGATAATAGGGCTCCTTTTGACTCGTTGAACAGGATTGCGCTTTAAATCCCGGGCGAGCCCAAACTTTCCCGATTGTTGTTGCTGCCTTGAAGTGCTGGTTGGGCTTGCTTATCGTGATGAACCAATCGAGCTGCACTGGCTGAAACAATCGTTGCTCAAGGTCCTACTATGCCAGACAGGTCGGTTGAAGAGCGTTGGACTAAAAGCAGAAATCCAAAGGTCCGAAGCGAAGTCGTACGGCTGGCTGTACAGAGATGTGACGGCAGTAAGGTGTTCCCTTCAGACAACCAGTATAACAGCGATGCTGCCTTCCCACAAGGAGAGGTGGGGTTAGAGAAGGTCGGCCCTAAAAATGGACACCTCGCCTTATCCCGCGGATATCCGTTTTTGGCGGCAAGGTCTCAACAAGTACGGAGCTAGCACGAAAATTATTCACAAAAAGCTCGTGTGTGACCGAATTCAAGCAGTTGTTCCTTGGGCACTGCGGTCACGCTCTCAGGTCATTAAGACTATCTCTAACCCAATTTTCTTTTTAGGTACCTCTAAAAGAACCCTTCCACGATGTGAACAACCGGGGACTAATAACCGCCCTCATACCTCTAACAGCACTCAAGATCACTGACCGATTGTGCTTTGGGATTAGTAATCTAAGAGTATGTCTGAGTTTATTAATACCTTGAAGGCTTTATATGCAAACACCTGAAGGAAAGTGTTAGATTACTTCTCCCCATTGTTCCGGTCCAGCAATGGGGTTAGGCAGGATCGCACAACCTTTCCAACCTTCCTTCATATCGCCAACGGCAATATTCTGGAAACAGCTCTGAAGAACGTATGTGATGATGTAAATCTGTTGCTCGAAGAAAGACTTTTCGACCATGAGTACGCAGGCAAGACTGTTTTATTATCAGATGATATAATGCCATCTAAATCCCACTTCATCAGTTGGCAGCTAGTATAAATACAGGTATTTTGTATCCTATAAACACAAAGTACTTCTGAAAGACTAATAGGAGCTTGTACCTACACTCATTCTTTGTGGTGAACCTCCAGATATAGTTGAAAAGTTTGTGTATTTGGGCAGTTGTATGAGTACTGGTGTGTCAAGTGAGATCAGCTTATGTATGGTGAAAGTCAAAAAATGTTATACCAACTTGGGCCATCTTTTGTGTAGTTTTAACGTTAGTCTGGCTGTAAAATGCTAGGCCTACAACGCGCGCGATGGCGAGTTGGATGAAATCTAGGGGTGATCAGGCTGAAACATAGCATCAGTTTATAACATCACTAACATGGATTGAGACCTGTTGACACGTTCAGACCACATGACTGGAGTCTGCACGATAAACAAGATCAGTGGTAGCAAACGTTGGGTAAAACAAGTTAGAACCGGTCGCACTAGAGCGAATGCATTTAGTCTTCTTTTTTCCCTAGATATTGAGTTCCAGTATTTTCATACATACCCTTTTTAAACCACAATCTTCAATACGTAAATGTTTACACTATCATTAATTACGTTATCGTGTCAACTCCTTCGGTATTCCTCTTGTTTCATCTTTCTGAACCGATGTAAGATGGTAACTTGAATAAACATACTATTTCGTAGGGCTCTCAGTTAATTAGGAACAGTAGACGTAACCACAATGTAATATACATTATTTCCCATTCAAAAATGTTAACCATATTAGTAAATGATAATAAATCTACAAATAGATTTACTATTGTAAAAATTCACAATATATGAAACTGAGGAATATTCAAGTAAATAATTGGTTCCAATAACTTTGTCAACAATCTCTGCAATCATAAGTCAATAATTATTGTATTATTTTGGTCAAAATAAGACATGATCAAATAAGCTGTCAGTCATAAGCAACAGAGAAATCTGGCATATGTGTGCATCAGCTTAATTTGCTATACCATATATCCACAGAGAAATGAAATCAAGACGAATTCCAAAATATTAGGAGTAGTAGAAAGCATTGCACATAAAAAATATAATTCAGGAAGGGAGAACGTATTCGTGAAATAAAAAGCAAAATATGCTTTTAAAACCTAAATCTAAGGGAATATGAAACGAGAATTCACCTGAACAATGAACCTGAGATGGATTACGAGCAATGTTACTCTGAGTCTGTAACCGTTGATAGAGATATTCACGAAGACCCCAACCGATTAATGTGCACCTACATTATTTTTATAGGGTTTACTACTTCACTGAGCTTTGGAAATTGACCATCCGCATGCAGTCAACGCTTGTTGACGAAATAATTTGAATGGCTGATTTCATCATCCGGTTTTACGATACGTCTTATGAGGTCAAGGATGATTTAACAAAAAATCATAATCAGTGAGTTCGGAGTAGTTAAAACAGCGTATATACGATTTTGATATTTACTTTTGGTGAAAGTATGTGTGAGTTATGTAACAGTTCTTTTTTGTTAACTAAATTTCGAAGTAACTAAATTTCTGCAGTATAAAAGTTTGGTCAAGTTTTTCGTCTATAAAATTAAACCATTACATACATGAACTCCGCATTCCAGTAGAGATTGATGAGAGGATATTTCTCAAGTCCTGAAGTTGTATTTTCCCAGCTTCAAGTCGTTTATCGGTTGTCTTTAGGAAAGAATGGAGAAAACATCTGTTATGAGAAAGTAACATCAGTTGTGACTATCAAAAACGTTTGTATGTTAACTCTGAATCCCTTGAAAAAAACAAGAATACTCATGACCTCTAAACTAGTGAACAGACTATTTGCCGATGAACAGTATTATATTTACATCACTTCTATGTGTTATTGTATTGTTTTAACAATTAGCTTTGAGATGTAGTATATTACCTATACTTTTATCGACAAGTCTAGTACCCATTTACAAATTTTTTATTAAATGACTTAAATGTTTTGTTTTCCTCGTCTGAGATACACTGAAATACATTAACTAACTTAATTAGATGTGTAGTAAAACAAAACACAAAAGGACTATAGATCTACGGTAATTTACTAATAACTTGGTACGAAACTCTAGGTGTTTACACTTCATAATACTGGATGGCATAATGGACTGATAAAAAGCTAACGGGGAAAGCAGAAAACCCTGATGAACACCACTTGAGATAACCACTTGTGACAGTTCACCATAAGCTCTGACTCGATCAGTAGTGTTCGATTAGAGAGGACGTACAATGTTAATGTACTTCTTTAGGACACCTTTCCTCGAAAAAGTGCCACAGAATATCACGATCAACAGGGTCGAACCACACCTTAAGGTCAAGGGATATTTGGTCTTTACATTTACGTCCACATTTGAAATCAGACTATTTTCCTCGGGTTTGCTTTTCGCGAGCTTTAGATAGACGTCAAAGTATTGAGACCAATATTTTAGACACTAGATTAGTTAAACTGATTCCTCCGTGATTATCACCAGGGGATTTTTATTCTTTCCTATAGACAGGGACGACCAGCGATCGAGACTAGTCAGATGGGATAATGTCCAATTTCTAGATTTTAGCTAGGATCTCAGCTAATCTAACTGCTAAAACTGGACCACCACCCTCAAAAATATCAGAAGTTAATCCACTAGGCCCTTCTGCTCCCTATCGCTTTAGGTTGCTAATATACTTTTCAACCTCATTAAGAGTCAAAGGACTTACATCAATTTTCCATTCATGTTGCTTGGAGATAGTAAGTAACTGAAGTGCGGCTCAAGGTCAGTTGGACTGTTTTCTAGACTGTGTTTGAGGATTTAGGAAAACACCATTAAAAGTGCGAGGTTTGGTTAGGATATCAAACTGTAACGAAAAGGTCAGGCTGAGCGTACATGATCCTTAAATTTGAACACTTAGAATACTAAACAGCTCATTCAGACTAGTTAACTTGTACCGAGGAAAACGTTCATAAAATGTAGGTGCAAAGCTTACACATCAAATAATCCCCCGTAGTATAACTACGGAAGAATCCCGAAACGTCAATAACATATAAGGTTTAACTAGGAGCTACTGTAGGGTAAGTAAATTAAAACAATTTTACGTAACTTACAGATGGGCGTAGAGAGTTACCGCCAGTGGATGAAGTTCCTGAAGATGGTGTGGCAGTAGTCCCAATGACAGGTGTAGATACATTAGATTCATCTAGGTGTCCCGTATTTAAATGACGCCCGATTGTCACAGCATTTGCTTGAGCAGATGATCTGCAAACGAATTACAAAAAAATACGTTGTTTAATTGAGTAGCAGGAACTAAACAATATGAAGTGTTGAGTATACACTTAAAAAGCCCAGAAAACCGACTAAGTAATACTTTGAATTGTCAGTTAGCATAGTGTTAGTGTAAATCAACTATCTTAGTTTCAATCCGGTAATGATTTAACTATGACAGACAATTAGTACAGGTAATTGAGACTGCTGTAGTATATAAAAGTTGACGAACGCAGAACTTATTTGGTACAAAAGACAGTTTCCTCTCTGCACATATCAACTAACTTCTCATGTGGTGAAGGCATACAGCTTTGGCTTCAGTTTACGCCACTGGGTAATACTATGATATAAATAAGTCGTGGATCAAAGATGAAACTAAACATCTGCAATCGGTATACGTTATACTGTAATCAAAGTGACTGGGCTGTTGCTTCGCAATGCCACTTTTGTCCAGAAGCTTAGTTTTAGACTTTATGTGATGGGAATATACTTGTCATGAATTTAGATCTTTTAAGCAAGTCACGCAGTCTTCGAAAAGTGAATCCGTTCACTACCTAGAGATTGCAGAAATCTATGGGACGCATGTGTTAAACAGGTAGAGTCGATTTAAGGTCGTGATGCGATCAGAGAGACTTTGTCTCAAAACTTCAGAAAGCTTAACCATGTACTCACAGATTATTCTACTTATCTACTAGGATATACCCAAAGAAGTTCAACGGAGTATCCACACTATATTAAAACTACTAGAGACAAAAATGAGTTGTTATGCTAAGTCTAGTCAAACTTACATATCAGATTCAGAAGTTAATCCACCTCCAAGCCCTACCCCCATCGCTAAGATTGACAGATCTGAAAGAATAATTACAACTTACACAACAAAGCCAGAATATCGCTGTGAGAAAGTTGGTTAAGACTTTCAAAACGACTAAGCCAGTCACCTAAAAATGTATTGAGGTCCAGAAAATTTACTTGAGAGTGTTGTAGTTTGTGCGGGTGGAGACCTAATGTAGTCGTTTATTCTTGAACAAATGTCACTATCATTTTTTCCGTTGGGTTCCTTTGAAAATGGTTTGAAGAATAAAACTTACTTGCATCCAGATGAAAAAATGTTTGGGACCTTTGAACTTAAGGAGATAAACTCTACCCGTTGTACATTGTGGAATCTTTTGAAACTCAGCCTGTTTGGCATTAATGACGAAATTCTAACTTAATAATTTATGCGAATGGAAGTACACCTACATCTTCAACAAGAAACGTCTTGCGATCGATCCAACAGAAGTGTAACTTTCCGTCCCCGGACTGATAAACATACACCCACCCCTTGCGAGGGTCAGCATGAACCCAGTTATCGTCACCAATCGTCATTTTCCCTGCTTTGAATTGCAGTAAATGTCGTGTTTGAGATTGCTGAGGCCTTCCGAACAGGGCAGTCCTACCCGACATGGCGAAAAATCCTAATTTGGCGGAGGCGGCCCGCTCAAGGACACAGTCTGTTCAATACTCAACACTATCATGGGTATTCAGTACCTCACTAAAGATATTAAGAAGATCCTTCAAAACACATTCAGCTATACTTGCTTCAAAAAAGTAAGAAATATTACGTGCCACAAATCATACTTTAATCTACCTTTTTTAACAACATTCAAACTACTAGATATTTATCTCTAATGCTGGCGTTAGAACCGGATTCACTGAGCACTTTAGAGGATATCAACTAGTTCCGACAATTATGCGATCCATAAGGACGTTTTATATGTGTCTCTTTCAATACTTAAGGCATGGCTTTGGCATATTTATATATCCTCTGTAAGTTTTGGACGTATAACAAAGAGTGCGTTTTTTTAATCGAGAGAGGAAATTCTGTATCTGTTTTGTTACCAATGATGAATGAATTTGTTAAAAATTAGCTGAAGACTCGTGATATCGACATGTGAAAATTGAGTTTCAGAGTTACCGATGCAAGTAGCATGATTAAAAACAGAAAGCCAACTGGCAAGGGACAGTTACTAAGCTACACAGAGAATGAGCAGGTCTTACAATCGCCTAAACCCGGCCTATATAGTATATAGTATACGGTCAACCACAGTTTACATCTTGGTTTTTTTGAAAATTGATCTATGATTACGTTCCATTTAATTTGCTGCAGGTCACAAGGTGAGGGAGGAAAAGTAACTTGCACCCAATTGTAATTTTACATCGAGCTTTGTGTTCCGAGATGGCTGTTCAGTTCGACGTGCCTGTTTAATTACTAATCCTGTGTTCCCATTTTGTTCTCTGGACTGGCTGGGCTGGTCGTGGAGCTTTAATCGTTCTTCTGAACGACATCATCAGCACAAATGTCAGGTAGAAGCGAAATGTCCGCAGGCACACACTCGACTGAAAAAATGTGAAGATCTTGGATAAAGGCAATTCTAAAAACACCAGAGGATTTTTAGAACCTGTGCACCCAGGTCAACCAACAAGCACATTGAAATCGGTCCAATTTATCAACTATTCAGAAAAATTATGGACGAACATGGAATTGACAATCAAACCAATCGAAGATACGACCAAAACAAAGAAGTAAAAAATGACCGGTTTAAGGTCAACAAGAACTAATCAACGTCGAGGCCTACAGAACAAGCTGTGAGACATATGTGGAGAAATTTGAACAGTTAAAGTCCACCTGAATTTTGTGCTGATGATATCGTTCAGAAGGGCGATGAAAGCTCCACGACCAAATCAGCCTGCTCAGAGAACAAACTCCATCAAAATCATCCACCTGAGCAACAAATCTCCAAAATTTCAAAATGCGATAAGATGGACACAACGTTTGATCTGAAATTATTAATTGATTGGTTATACCAAGACTTTTAACTGGAAAGTTGCAGTTAGTTGAAATTTAATAAAGCAGAGGATATACACACATCTCATCATGGGATTTATTTTAGCCGACTGAGTTACTCCTTGCTGGAGTGATTTCATACTTCTTATGAATTGATCTTGCTTTTGTACATTTATTGCGTCGAAAACGTAATTTGTGTACTTCAACTTTAATTATTTAGTTTAAGATTTTAAAGTTTCCTCAAAATTTGTTTTGTGGTACTCTTTTTTATTTGGTTGTCATACTGGTGATTATACAGTGTATTCTTGTCGACCTTATACCGTTTTAGATGTTTACAACGGTCGGCTTTACTTATAAATATGGGCAGTCAAATTTTTTTCTTCCCTGTGGAGAGAAAAAACCAATATGATAAGTATAGAACCTGTTTCCACAATATGTGTATCATTTTAAACCACACCACGTACAAAAGATGCTCGGATCATAACTCCTGTTGGCTCTGAATGTTTTACCGTTCGGGTAAGACATCACCGATCTAGAAGGCGATGAGCCCTCAGGCATGAGTTCTGGTGGCAAATGATGTGTCAATGTTGTATTTGCCGTTACATAAGTGTTGTGAAGAAACCATTTCGGGTTTCTTCAAAAATGCAATAATACACAAGTTTCAATAATGTTAACACTATATTTGCCATATTTGAAAAAGACAATAATAATAGAATAATAATAAATCTGGTCCTGTGTTATTGCGAAGAATATTGAATTGAGTTTAAAGAAGGAAAGGGAGAAAATAAAGGAATAGAAATAAAGGAGACGTGAAATCTGCAAATAGTTTAATTAGCGTGTATATGAACACAGAACAAGAATAAACGACTGTTTATGTATCGCCAAACTAGTAACAAAAATAAAATAGAAAATAATTATGAAAAGCTAACTTATTACTGACATAAGACATGACGCTAGAATAAATGTTTGCTCAGTCATAGTTTATAGTGATGCTATGAAAGCCTCAATTAAGTGAAAAGGATAGTAGAAATAACAGATGCCTGACATTAAGAGACTTCAATGCAACCGATATTAGTCGGAAATGGATGGCCACCGCCGTATATAAACTTCCTTTCGATAGTAGGCTCCCCGGTGACGTTAATCGAGCATGGTTCAGTATAGTTTGCACCCGAACCAGAAAGTTTTGATTCTAACCAAGGATTTTTGTTGTTAGACTTTGTAATTGTTCATGTGACCGGGAATATTGACTGTCTAAATGTCCTTCAGCCAATAGTAATTAGCAATCATGGTTCTTTTCATGTTTCATGCTTAGAGCTTGTGATATAATATACAATCAGGTTATGCGTCGCCCAAATATGTGGAGAGCAAAAATACCGGTTATAGAGGAGTACACTGTAACAAAGGACCGTTCAATCAATGATGGCTCATCAATCGGAGAAGCATGGTTCATAGTTAAAAGTATACCCAGCTTAGTAACATCCCGATTTATACCGTGCTTAGTATAACGTAGGCCAAATAACTGCCCACCACGGATAATGAAACAGGCCAAGAAACGTTTTAGACACTAAATAAAGTATTGAGGTATGTTTGTTTCTACAGGCTCAAAACAGTACAGATCGTTTTACTGTAAGACTAAGAACGCTCGCAAAACGTGGATAATTAAGGCTAAATATTTACATAAAAACAAGTGGTTGAGGATTGTGAAGATAATCCGAAAATGTTGTTCTCACATACAAAGGGGCAAACTCAGAAAAGCGAAGCAACCCCACCACATTTATTGCAAGAAAATCCGTTGATATTGTCAAGAAAACTGAAGTTTTGTCAGACTGTTTTAGTGAGGCATTTTTTACCCACGATGGTGAAGGGCTAACAATCAATTATAATGGCGGGTTGTTGATGTACTTTCTGGATATTAAGAAAGGATTTGTATAGCGATTACTTTAGCATCTCAAACTAGATAAGTTTAGTGGTCCTGACGACATTACAGAATCCTTGGTGAATGTGGTTTTTGAACTCGTCCCAACGCCATTGATACATCTTTGCTGCAGTCTTATTTGCCAAGAGACTGGAAAGACGTAATTACCAACCAGCTTTATGGATTGGAGAGTAGAAACTTAATCAGTAACTGTCAGCCCGTTAGTCCATCCAATGTAGTTGTCAAATCGATGGAAAAGATTATTCGTATGGTTATTCTAAACTATGCTGAAGAGTATAACTTTCTATCCATCGAACAACATGATATTACGAAAGGCCTATCGTGCTTGATAAATCTGTTAATTACAACGGAAGATTGAGATGCAGCGAAAAACAGAAATATTTCAGTGGGTTTAATGTTCATATGTCAAAGCAAGCCTTCGACAAAATATCTCGCCTGATCCTTAAGTTAAAGCCGGAACGTTTCGGGATTTATTATGAAATTATAAACCGTATGAGTAACTTTCTCAATGACAAGAGACAGCAGGTACTGGAGAGTGGAGCTCTTTCAACGTTGGAATCTATGAAAAATGGAGTTCTTAAAGGTAAGGTCCTCGGTCGCCTTCTTTTTTATGTTATGTAAATCAATTACCAGCTGTCGCAAACTAAGATGTTCTGCTCTTTGAAGATGATATAAAGAACTGCAAACCCGTACACAGTGTCAGACAGAATTACAATACAGGATGACCTAAATTCATCGGTTGAATGAATATATAGGTAGTCATCAGAAGTTAGTTCTAGCAAGAGTTTAATAATGTAAGTAAATGACTGTGATGATTCATATCACCACAAAATATGTGGAATTGTGTAACATGAAGTAATAGACCATAAAGACCCAGGAGTCATAGTCAGCAGTGACCTAAAAACTACAAGTAACTGCATGGTTGCCACTGTCAAATGCTTTTGGGACTTACGGGCCATTTGTATGTTGTTTCACTAATTCAACGAAAAAATGTCTATGAAATCACATTCAACTTTTGTCAGGATACATTTGGAATATGTGATTGAGTTCCTGTCTCAATTATGAGCCGGATATGCTAGAACGTGTTCATAAGCGATGAGAGAGAATTATAAAAGGACTCTCTGACCTGCCTTATGAAAACAAATCGCGACACATAAACCTATTTCCGTAATCTTACCGCAAAATACAGGGTTATCTGATACCGACTTATGGTACATTAGACGATGATCTTAGTATCAATGTCTTATCTTTTCTTTCCATCTAGGACTAATCATTAGAGGGAACATTCTAAGAAATCTAAACAAATCGCTTACGTCTAGAGTCTTGTTTCTTTCACCGGGTAGTGAAATACTAAAATTCCATACTAGAACGTCTAATATCAGCACCTTCTGTTGTCACATTCAAATCGAGGTTAGATCTCTACACTACCAAAAGGTGAAAGGATCAATATAGGTCGACTGATCTCCTCTCCTTACTACTGAAGACTATTTATAAAAATCATTGGATTGCTCCTGGATTAATCTACCTGGACATAATTTTTTTATGGGAGGAAGATGTACTGTGGAAACGAGGAGCAAAAGGCCTAAGGAAAATGTAGGATTGGAAGGTTAGCTTCATAAAGCCGTTTGTGAATCATATGATGTTGTTGGTAAAGATAATGCTATTAGTGTCCTCAGTATGGTT